CCACAAGGCAGAGACAAATGTCAGATTTCCCTCGCCATCTCCCCGTCCCCTCACCCCCAACACACACACACACACACACACACACACACACACACTCCTGACACAATGGCCGGGTGGGGCTCAGGGACTGGCTTCCTCTGCGGAGATCTCAATCTGAGTCCTTAGTTCCCGTCCCAGAAACACAGGAACAGACACGGAGACCTGGCTTTACACTCCTTGTTCCAAGGGGCAGGCAGGACAGACTGAAAACAGAACCACTTCCAAAGATTAAGGTAAATTAAGGGGGAGCAAGAACGGAAGGGGGGAAGAGTCCCTTGGTGCGATTAATGGGCTGGTTCACATTCAGGCAAACAGGTTGGAAGCCAAAGGAACATGCTGTCTTGTGGGGTGTGAGAAAGATGGCCAGATACACCATCCTTAATCCCTTGGCCGATACAGAGGTGCCTAAATGCCCATGTCCTAGGCCAGCTCAGCCCATGCCTTGACTCCACATCCTCACCCCGGTCCATCCACCCCCTGCTCCGGCACGCCCCAATCCACACAGCGGTGCCCACGTAATATGCACAAACAGAACAGCCCACCCTCCACACCTGGATTTCAGCCTTTCCCTGCCCTGCTAACCTCTTGAGACCCGGGATACAGGGTCCCTCACATCTTCCAAAGCACCAGTGTGCGCATGTGGAGTGTGGTGCAGTTTGGGGGGGTGTCCGGTTGGGAGGAGGATCTGATTCCTGTTTCCTGCCCCAACTCACTCAGCCCTGGGAGGTGACTGAGAGTGGAGAGGACTCAAGGGTGAGTGTTTGGGGCCAAGTACCTGGGTCCCTGCAGTAAGCCTTAATTGGGGGAGGGGGTAGGAAGTAACCACAGGTAGTTAAGAGGCGGGTGGGATTGCTGACAGGGGCTCGGACTGGGGAGCAGCTGGCTTGTGTGGGGCCACTGCCTGGGTCACCTCGATAAGGGGCTTCCTGCCAGAACACAGAGGCCATTGAGCTGTAAGACTGAGCTCCTTTAGCCCCCACCCCGCATCATTTCCTAAGAACCCAATCTGGGTCCTGGAATCTGACTCCTGTGGACTTTGGAAGGAAGTTTGGGGGTACCCTCGCCCCTAACCCTCACCCTATAGCCTTCTTAGTTATAGAGGCATGGGAGGAAGGGAAGCCCAAGCCCTGTGTCCTGGCTCCACTCGACTTCGCCTCTGCCTGGTCTCCCAATCATCTCTCCAGGCATCCTGGCAGCACCCAGGCGTCCACTGGGGCCTCTGTCTATGAGCAGATGGGGGGCCGGGGGCAGGTAGGGATAAGAGGATGGGACAGGAAAGACCATGCCGGGGCCTTCTGGTCTCTTGGGGTCAGAGGCTCCAGGAATCTTCATGGCAGGAAAAGGAGACTAAAAATAATCCGGAAAGGGAGAGTCCGGAGAGAGGAACTGGGAAATGGGGGGGTGGAGAGCCAGTTGGAGCAGGGAAATAATGATGCATCCCTCAAAGCCCAAGCCTGGGCATGGTGTGAGTGCACGCTGCGTGCACACACACACACATACACACACCGTACTCCACATACTTAAGCCATACATGCAAACCTCTACAACATGAGCCACAAACACACACCACATAAGGCCATCATGCAGACCCATGGTGGTGGTGTCAGCAAGCTGAAGTCCTCTTACTGGGGACAGTTCTCTTATACCCCAAGTCCACTTGACTGGGTCTCTATGTAGGTGCCTCCACCCCAGCTTCATTCTCTCCCCTGGCTTGGCTTTGGCAGAAGTCAAAAGATAGGCTGGCAGAGGGCCAAGAAGCTTGCCAGGTGGGTCTAGGGGCTATAGGGAATGAGAGGAGGGGCAAGAGGTGGGTGAAGGGAGAGGAAGTGACCAGCCTTCCCCCCAAGCCTAGTGTATTTGCTTGCAAAAGATTTCTGCTCAGAGGTTTTAATTTAACCACAGGATGGGGGCTGAGGGCAATGCTGAGCGAGTGTCTCTTTATCCCTTCCTCTTCCTCAGGGAATGACTCCAGCCTACTATCTCACTTCTTCCAAGAGATCAGAGGAAGATGTCAGCCCAGTCTCTTCCAGCAGCAACTCCCCCTACCCAGAAACCCCCTCGGATCATCCGTCCCCGCCCCCCTTCACGCACCCGGGCTGCCCAGTCCCCAGGGCCCCCCCACAATGGTTCTTCTCCACAAGAATCTTCCCTCACCCCCAATGATGCATCTACCCCAATGTGCACTCCCATCTTCTGGGAGCCCCCAGCCTCATCCCTCAAACCCCCTGCCCTTCTGCCCCCTTCAGCATCTAAAGTCAGCCTTGACTCCCAGACTTCACCAGATTCACCTTCTGGCACCCCCAGTCCAGTGTCCCGGCGCTCCATCTCCCCAGAGCCTGCACCCCGATCTCCAGTCCCCCCACCGAAACCCTCAGGGTCACCCCGCACACCTCAGCCCCAAGTCCTGGCCCCTGATAGTTCTTCCTCAGGCTCTTCTTCAGCCCCAGGCACTGTGCGGAGACTGGCGGGCAAGTTTGAGTGGGGGACTGAAGGCAGAGAACAGGCTGTGGAGCCCGAGCCTCAAGGGGCAGTGGATGTGAATGGGGAGAGAGACATTCCCCAGGGCTTCCTCAATGGGAGTGGGTCTCAGGATAACGGGCCTCCTGGTAAGTGTGTCAAGGGGCTGAGGTGGGTTCAACTCAGCTCATCTTCTTTGCTTTCAGTATTTTAGCACTGGGTACTTTTAGGGGCTAGCTTTTCAAAAATGACTTTAATATTTGGGGCATCTAATTTTCACATTTCTAGAGATTGAAGAGAGTCAGGGTTGAGTTGCTACATGCCTGGGATTTGACCTCAGTGTTCCCGTAGCTGGATAAGCTAAGGGGAGGGAAAAGGTCTGGGAAGGCTAGGCCTTCTCCTGAGGACACTCCTGTCTCCCACAGATGCTGCCCTGGTCTGCCCTCCCTCCTGCCCCTGTATCTGCCATGGAGCTCGGCCTGGCCTGGAGCTCCGTTGGGTGCCCGTGGGGGGCTATGAGGAAACCCCCAGGGCCCTCTGCCGGGCCTCCCCACTTCGAGCATCCCGCTCCCGCCCCAGCCCTCCAGTTGTCAGCCAGCCCCCAGTTGTTCTCACATCCTACCGGTCCACTGCTGAGCGCAAACTCCTGCCGCCCCTAAAGCCCCCCAAGCCAACTCGAGTCAGGCAGGACACCACCATCTCTGGGGACCACCCACTGCCAGATCTCGATCTGCCATCTGAAGATGGAATCAAAACAGGTACAGGGGGTGGGGGGGGGCGTGGGCCTCTGGGCTGGAAAAGGAAGGAGTTGAGGTGGAGTAAACCCCAAACCAATGAACTACAGCTCCCAACAAGCCCTTTTTGTTCTTCGCCAGTGCTGCTTTTGGGCTGACAGGAGTTGTAGTGTTTATAGCCCTCTGGAGAGAGTCCTGGGGTTCATAGAGGTTTGTTCTCTTAACTTTGGGTTCTTTCTCCAGGGGACAGTCCTCGTGAAACTCCTCGGAATGTTCCTCCAGCAACCATGGAGGGAAGGTACCAAATACCTCCCCTTATCTCACTCCCACCTGAAGGCCTGCAAACCTCCAGTTCAGTTAAATCCTAACTCCACAAAGTGCAGTGAAGGAGCACTGGGACTCTAGACACTAGTAGTCCTGGTTTCTTTCTTTCTTTCTTCCTTTTTTTAAAGATTTATTTATTTATGCATACAGAACTGGGGTACAGGCCAGAGGTGCAGGGGCGGTGAGAAGATTCATCAGATGCTGAATGAGAACAGAACAGGCAGATCAATGAAGTACACTGGTGAGGGGAGCAGTGAGCGAGACAGGAGAGTTCTGCTGTGCCATGTGGGTCACCTCCGGTGCAGAGGATCGAACTCGCACTGAAGTAGCTGCAGCGAGCTTGCAATGCTGCATCCTAACCCGTTGTGCTACCAGGGAGAGCCTGGTCTTGGTTTCTACTCCCAGTTCGGTCCCTTATGAACTGCATGGCCTTATCCAAGTCACTTAACCTTCCTGGGTCTCAGGTCCTCCTCTGTGAAGTGAAGATAAGCAGACCAACTGCTTCACAGTGCAATCAGAGTGTGCTATTGTAAGGAGCCGTCCTTCGTTGTTTTAGTTCCCTTCCCTCACCTTGAGCTTCCATTGCAAGTATTGTTTGCAGATCCATTTGCAAACCATGCATCTCTTCTGTGTCTTCTGGGCTTGTTAATCATTTTAGGTTCATCATTGTTATCAAAGTTTAACCTGAGCTCATTCAGTTGTTCAACAATTTTATTCATTTATTTATTTTTAACTTGGGTGAATGGGTAGTGATGTGATGATCAGAAGAGTGGGGGAGTAGAGCGGTGTAAGAATTTGGGTTTGGATGGAAAAATGCACAGAATGATGTAAAAATAAACATATTATTTATTAAAAAATAAGAATTTGGGTTTGATCATATTGAGTTTCACTGACGCACAAAAAGGACATTCTAGACAAAGGTTGCTATGTGAGTAGAGAGTAGAGACTTGTACATTAGTACCTTTGGTACACATTAGTGGAGATAACAGATCAGACTCTCTTGGTACAGGGTCTTCCATAGGACAGGGACATTAAAAAAGAAAGAAATTGGTATTTGATCAGGGTTCCTGCATACAACCTGCGTTTCAGGTATGCACTCCCTTATACTGTAAGGTAACAGCACCCCCTAAAGGTGTGTAACAAAACTGGCTCTGGGGGATTCCCCTTGCTCTTTCCACAGGGAGGAGGAAGGGCTGGAGCTGCTGAAGGAGCAGAACTGGGAGTTGCCTCTGCAGGATGGTGAGCCCCTCTGGACCTGCGGTGAGGGAAGCGTGCTGTGATGACTAAGCAGTGGGCAAGGTTTTGTGGTACTGGATTTCTGATATGTGGCTTCTGCTCTCCAGAACCCTTGTACCAGACCTACAGAGCTGCTGTCCTGTCAGAGGAGCTGTGGGGTGTCGGTGAGGATGGGGGTCCCTCGCCAGCAATTTCTGGGGATGCGCCCACCTTCTCACGGCCCCCGGGACCTCGAAACACGCTATGGCAGGAGCTTCCAGCTGTGCGAGCCAGCGGCCTCCTGGACACCCTCAGTCCGGAGGAGAGACGCATGCAGGAGGTGGGCACACCTGGGGGCGGCAGGAACGCAGGTCTAGGGGAGAAGCATCTGGACCGGTAGGCGTGGAACTTTCCACGACTCCCTGCCCTCCGTGCTCAGAGCCTGTTCGAGGTGGTGACTTCTGAGGCTTCCTACCTGCGCTCCCTACGGCTGCTGACTGACACCTTCGTGCTGAGCCAGGCCCTCCGGGACACGCTTACGCCCCGGGATCACCACACCCTCTTTTCCAACGTGCAGCGAGTCCAGGGAGTCAGCGAGCGGTCAGTGGCGTCCCAGCTTTCTCCTTGTGCCCATTTAGTGCCCCATTCTTCCCTTCAGCACCCAGGGGAACTGCCCCCTCCATGCTGCCCCACTCCTTCAGGTTCCTGGGGACACTGCTGTCCCGTGTCCGCTCTTCCCCCCACATCAGCGACCTGTGTGATGTGGTGCATGACCACGCCATGGGGCCTTTCTCCGTGTATGTGGACTATGTGCGCAACCAGCAGTATCAGGAGGAGACGTACAGCCGCCTAATGTGAGTGTCCTAGAGGGGGAGCCACGGGAGGAAGCTGGGGAGCCGGAGTGGAGTCCGGCTGGGCTGAGTTGGGGCATCAGGGCGATGCAACCACCCTGGGCTGCTACTGCAGGGACACGAACGTGCGCTTTTCTGCGGAGCTGCGCAGGCTGCAGAGCCTCCCGAAGTGCGAGCGGCTCCCGCTGCCGTCCTTCCTGCTGCTGCCCTTCCAGCGCATCACGCGGCTCCGCATGCTGCTGCAGGTACCCGCCCCGCGCCGGGCCTGTGCCCCGCGCCAGCCGGGCTGGAGAACTCACCCAGTCATTTCTCTTTCCACCATGAACACAGAAATCCCCACATCAGGAGTCCTACCTGGGCCTCTAAATGCAGGACCTCCCAAGCCCTACCTGTCGCTGCGCAGACATTTCAAGGAGCAGTACAGGTGCAGGAAAAGAGCCTCTGGCTATAGGCATGAGTTCTAGATTTAGCTCTGCCACTAACTGCTGGGCAGGGCCCTTGTTCTCTCTGGGCCTCAGGGGGAACCTGGTGAGTTTCTTCCACCATAGTTTCTGCCACTGCCTACTGTCCCAATGGGGGTGGTATCCATCCCCAAGGATTAAAACATTGGTTCTTTGCAGGGACAAACATTCTTAGATCTTCCAGTGGTTGTGTTTCTCCAAAGGCCCATGGTACTTACATAGATACACAATATCTCCCTGTGCTATTGAAGTGTTGTGGTGACTTAAAACACATATGGTATCGTAAAGCAATGTACCTCTGTAGACATAATTTTGAAAAATTATGTTTTTCTACTTATGGCAAAATAAAATAAAGTAAAATTTTATGGTGAGAAGGACCTAGGGGGGAAAAATGCCTAAAAAGTTTTCTTGTGGGGTAGTACTGGGGAAAAAAAGATTGAGAAATACTCTCATGGCAGAGTAGAAACTTCTCCCTCAACCAGGTTACCCAATATGAAGAGTCCACACTAGATTATTAGTGTCTTTATGTCTTATCCAACTTCATATATCCCCTGTGTGGATGACATAATAGTAATAATCACAGCTAATCAGTACTGGGTGCTCTATTCTAGGCATGGTTCCAAGGGCTACACATCTCTCAAACTTACCAGGAGGGGAGAGACTATTGTTGACCCCATATTAGAGATGAGAAAACTGAGGCACAGAGAGGTTAAATAACTTCCTCCAGGTTGTACAAATACTACTAGAGGGAGACAAAATTGAAATCAAAGCACTATTCACCATTGTGCTATACTGTTTATACTAATTATTGTGTTAACAACTATTAAAATAACAAGCAATCTTTTTTTTCCAGGATTTACTATGTGACAAGGACTATGCTAAGTAGTTTATGTATATTAACTTTTGGATTTTCAAAACAATGCTATTGGTATTCTAGGTAGGTGTTATCCCCATTTTACAGATGGGGAAACTGAGGTTCAGAGAGGCACCATGACTTGCTTATTATGCAGATGGTGAGTGATCAGGTCTCTCCTCATTGAGGCTGGTCCCCCAACTTTGTGAGCTCCAATGGAGCACTTTGCCAAGTTAAACAGGGTACTGTCCAAGCTGTAGCCCCTGCAGGACAGGGGGCCCAGTCATCTTTCTTTCTTGTCTCCAGAATATCCTGCGCCAGACAGAGGAGGGGTCCAGCCGCCAGGAGAATGCCCAGAAGGCCCTGGGAGCTATCAGCAAGGTGGGCAGGAGCGGTGCTGGGGGGAGGAGGCTGGGGGTACGGAGACATTCAGAGGTGCAAAGGAAGCAGGTGGGTGACATGGCTCCCTGTTCCCAGATCATTGAGCGTTGCAGTGCCGAGGTGGGGCGCATGAAGCAGACAGAGGAGCTGATCCGGCTCACACAGAGGCTACGCTTCCACAAAGTGAAGGTCAGTCCGGCCCATCTGGCAGCTACCCCCCTCATTCCCCACACTGCTTGGAGAAACCAGAACTTCCTCCCTGCTTCCTTGCAGGCCTTGCCCCTGGTCTCCTGGTCGAGGCGCTTGGAATTGCAAGGGGAGCTGACTGAGTTAGGGTGCCGGAGAGGAGGCGTTCTCTTCACCTCACGGCCTCGATTCACTCCCCTCTGCCTGCTGCTCTTTAGCGACCTGTTGCTCATCACCCAACCCAAGAGGTGAGTCTTAGAGAGTGTGGGGAAGCCCCGGCAGGGGTGGACAGGAGCAGACCAGTTGGACCTCTGCTCGCCTCTGACTTTTTTCCCTGGGCAGTGGGCAGCGACTACAGGTTTTGGACTATGCGCATCGTTCCCTGGTCCAGGCTCAGCAGGTTCCAGACCCATCTGGACCCCCTACTTTCCGCCTCTCCCTTCTCAGCAACCACCAGGGCCGCCCCACCCACCGGCTACTCCAGGCGTCATCCCTGTGAGTTGTGTCTTCTTCAGAAAACACCCTTGAAACCCTCACCTGACCTCTCAGAGTCATCGTCCTCCCCTATCTCTCTCTCCTTTGCCCTCTAATTCCGAAGCCCTCGTGGGCTAATTGTGACTCTTCTTGGTGTTCCCACTAGATCAGACATGCAGCGCTGGCTGGGAGCCTTCCCGACCCCAGGACCCCTTCCCTGCTCCCCAGACACCATCTATGAGGACTGTGGTGAGTGTGCCAAAGAGGGGAAAAGGGAGTCCTCAGGGGAACATGGAGGAAAAGCTAAAAAAGGTGTTGATCTCACTGTGTCACCGCTTCCTAAGCAGACTGTTCCCAGGAACTGTGTTCAGAGCCTTCGACACCAGTCAAGACAGAGCCACGGAATCTGGAATCCAGGGGTCCCCTCAAACACTTGCACAAGAACCCTGAAGGTGAGAGGGCCTTTTATTTATTTATTCAGTAAATGCTTATTTTGCACCTAGGGCTGCTCGCTGTTCTAGGTGAGCAACTGAACACAAGGCAATTCTGGCACTGTTGGTGTGAATATCCTAGCAGAGGAGTAATAATAAAGAAAAAAAGATGACTAAGTAACTTGTAGAATATATCTGAAGGTAAGAAATGTTATAGAAGCCTTCCCTGGTGTAAGAGGCTAAAGCCACTTCAGCATGAGTTTGATCCCCACCCCGAGGTGACCCACATGGTGCGGCAGACCTCGCCTGACCCGCCCACTGCTCCCCTCAGCAGTGTACTTAGTTGCCCTGCCTGTTCTGCTCACACTCTGTCTCTGGTGAATCCTCTCACCACTCCTGCACCTCTGGCCTGTACCCAGTTCTGTATGCATAAATAAATGAATCTTAAAAAAAAAAAAAAAAGAAATGCTATATAGAAAAGCAAAAGTGAAACAGTCAAGGAGGTCAGGATTGGGAATTTAAAACTTAAAATAGGGAACTCTGAGTGGGCTTTCTGTTCCCTGACGTGAGGCCTTCAAATACAGGGAATGTGAGGCAGGAGTCAGTGCAGAGACCCTCTGGACAGTGTGTTTGAGGAACAGTAAGGTGGCCAGGGTGGCTAGAGGGAAAAGAGAAAAGCAGATGAGATCTTGAGGTAAATGGGCCCAGAACACATCAGTCTTCATAGACTCCTAAAGGACACACAGCTCCCATTCTGTGTGAGATAAGCAGCCATTGCAGGGTTTGACAGGGGTGTACCCCACCCTCTTTGATGCTGCTGTCATCTCCACACTAGTGTCTGATGACCTTTCTACCAATATGCAGACTTCTCCACTAATTCCCACACCCACCCTGAGGCATTTGACTCTTCAGGACCTGTTCTTACCCCAGCCCCACTTGGGTCTCTCCCCAGGCTGGCTGAAAGGACTTCCTGGGGCCTTCCCTGCCCAGCTGGTGTGTGAAGTCACAGGGGAACATGAAAGGAGGAAGCACCTGCGCAAGCACCAGAAGCTTCTTGAGGCTGTGGGACCCTCTTCAGACACTCCCAGTGCCCCCCCACCTTAATGGAGCCTGGAGAGGAAGCACAGGTTGGGACATCTGGCTGTGGAGAGGACAGAACCCATTCATCCACTGGAATCGCTGTCAGTGGAAACGCTACCTCTAATGGCAACCAACAGGGAATGAACTTCAGGACAGGGCAGCCGATGAAAATGGGGCCGTCGGACCTCACACATCTGGGAGAATGAGGATGGCTTGCGGGTGTTGCCAGTGGAGACAGGTTTAGTACAGAGCAGCCAATGGCTGGTGAGCTGACTGAGCCCCTGGCCAGTGAGCATCCCTGTTATGCTCACAGCTGAGGAAGCAGAAGCTAGGTCAATGCAACTGAAAAAGCCTGAGTTGCAGATAAAGTCCTAGAATAAAAGAGCCAGCAATTGTGAACAGGAACCCATCCAGTTGAAGAAGACGGGTCCAGGTGGTCTAATGCCCCTGCCTGGCTCTATAGCAATCATGGATGCTGCCTTTTGAGTCTGGGAAATGTTCAATTCTATTCCCAGGGTGCCTTCTGTACCTTCTCAAGACAATTCTAGAAGAATCCACAGTGTCTTTCTCAGAGGATTTGTGTATCTCAGTTCCTGTCGGGAAGTCGATTGATTCTGCTGAACTTGGTGTGCGTGCATGCTTTTCTCCCCTCCCAGATGGTTTCTTCCCTACCCCTCATTTTTCCTATTACTCTCTCCAAGAATGACACTCACTGAATTCCAGAGGACAACATGCTTGGTGTGGCTTTGCAATCAGAGGCCAGAGCAGGGGATGAGACCCTGGGTTTTGGGTCTCTTGGAGACCCATAAATAGGTCACACCTATTTATTGAGTGTTTTCTATGTGCCAGGAACTCTGTATCTGGGGATACAGAGAAGAAAAAGACAAGGGATTTGCCTTCAAGGCGTCTATATTCTAGGTTGGGGTGGGGATGGGGAGAACAATAACAAGTAAATTAACACGCCAGGGTTCTATGACGTGGAGGAGAATGTTATGGTACAATCCAGCAGCCTGGCAGAGCAGCCCAAGGGACTGAAGCTGGCCAACAGCTGGGGCCTGAGGGTCCTGGAAGGTCTCAGGCCCTTCTCCTTGCCCTACAGTTTGGCCTCCACAATCCCTGTCCACAGACCCTCCAACATGAGCTATAATCAGACTTGACTGGCTCTGAATCCCAGTTTCAGGTGAAGAAATGAGAATTGTGGATCATGAGCTGGCTGGTAGTCAGGAACTTTCTTGCCTTATCCTGGTTCTGTCACAGAAACACTGGACCAGGCAGTGGGGAGAGAAAGGAGAGCCAGTGTTGCTGTCCAAGAGTCTGCTTCAGGATGAGAAACTGCTCAGGTGAGGGATGCAAGCAAGGTAGAGCAGACAGTGAGGGAAGCCCCAGGTATGGCACAAAGCCTTTCCCATATCAGGTCATCACACCTTTTCTTCTGCTCATGCATGGCAACTTGCTCAGGGTAGAACCTGCCACACTGACCTCAGGAGGTGCAGAACTTGGAAGAGGGAGAAAGGCATTGGCATTTGACATGTTTATGACTTGGAGAAACCTTCAATAAGTGTTGGTAGAACTGTATTGAGGATCTTCAGGGGAGCATGTACTTAATGGTGGTTTCCAAATGGGTGGGGCTCTTTGGAAAGAGTCTTTGAGATTAGGGGTGGGTTCTGCTGGGAACTGAGGTTTGTAGATCAGCTGCAAGATGTGAACGTGTTGGATCAAGCGTAGCTCCTTGGGGAGTTTGGAGATGCTGGGGTGCAGGGCTACTGCAGGCTGGACAAAAAGACAGGGCAGGGTCGATTACAGCTGGAGCTCCAGGATGCAGCTGCACTGAGAAGACAAAAAAAAAAAAAAAAGAAAGAAAGAAAGAAAAAAAGACAGCTAGCAATAAAGGTTCTTTACAGAAAAGTCGAACATCTATATATTTAATTCAATTCAGTTCTACTCCTATTTCTTATTAAGAGTCTTATGCTCTACTGACTGAGCAAGCTTTACCTGTAACCTGTAAATGTTCCTTCCCAGCCCCTCAGCCTTTTCATATGGAAGCCAATTCATATGTTCTAATAGTGGGATAGTAGGGAGATAAGGTCTAAATAAAAATTGTTTGTGGGACAAGAGGCATATAAAATACAACCATACGGTCCAAAAGTGACTGACAAAATGGAGGGAAGCGATGAACATTTTCACAGGGTTAGGAACGGCAGGCCCCAGAGGTGCCTGACCTGGCAGGTGGGGAAGCTGGGTCCACTTCAGGAGTCTCTCCGAGGAAGAGTGCTCTCCGGTCACAGGGCACTCATCCTTCTTTGCCCTTCTGTGGGTTCTGGGTTACTGTCGCCCTAGCGACTGGACTGTCGCCCAGTCCTAATAAGGACTGGTGAGCCGAAAGGTGTTGCAATCCTGATCACAAGCAAAACGGAGAAGTGAAGCACCCCCTTTCTCCAACAACCCCGCTCCCCTGCTCTTCTCTCTTTCTTGCCTGCACTCCACTTCCTGCGATCCTTTCCAGAGCCCTTCAGCTTGGTGCTCTGTCCATTCCGCAAGGTTTCTCCTCTTCTTTCCCCCTTGGGTTTTTTTTTTCATCTGCTGGTTCCCCGCCAGCCCTGACCAGTTCACTGCTGGTGAACCCTCCGCCCCTCAGCACCCGAAAGCGCCTCAAGATAGATCAAGCTGAGCAAAGGAAGAATCCCAAGAGGTTACCCTCTAAACCAAGCCGGTCGCCCGCCACCCGCGGGGGCGTGGTCAGGCTCCTCCCAGCCGGTATTTACCCGACAGGCTGGGCCTCCAGGGGTATTCCTCCTCTCCCCCGGCAGTCCTCCCTCTCGCTCCTGGCCGTCACGGGGTCGCCCAGCCACTGCTCAACTTTGTATTCGCCCCAGACTTGCAGAGGTTCGGGGCGGCACCGTTAGCTGGTTGGTTGGCGCGGGGTCCTTCTGGATCTGGAGGATGCTCACTCTGAGCGTCGGAGGCGTGGTCGGCGTTCTCCACGGGCCCCTATTACACAGCGCTGTCAGGGTTAACCTTCTGTCATGCTAAACTTCAAACTGCTTTGCCCCACTCACTAATTTCTGCCCCCAATTTCCTCCCCCCCCCCCACACCTCTACCCTGTAACCC